ACTTAGGGGCAGATGATCGGAGGTGGAGCGGTCCATTCCGCGGAGGGCGGGGTCGACGGTCAACCCAGAAGCAACAGAAACGAGAAGGCGAAGAGAAGCCAAGAGAAGAAAGGACAAAAGGAAAGCAGCCGCCCAGGCCGCCGATCGGATCACCGTGCACCGGGGGTGGCGATGGATTGGAAGAGGAGGGCATGGAGTGGCCTTCGATCGTCCGAAGGCAACACCCTGCGGGCTCTCCAGTCTGATTAGCTCACATTTGGACTCTTTGCTGCGACAAGTCATGGGTGCCTGGCGCGCTGCTAAGGCAGAAGCAGAGTCAAGTCACGAGCTGCAAGCCCGGTCCGACTGCATCGCCGAGCTCCAATCAAGGGAGCTCCCACTCCGCGGCTCGGAGTCGGAGAGCTTGGTGAGTCGAGGGCTGGAGGAGACTATGGACACTGATCTTCAGGAAGCTCAAAAAGAGCTTTTGGAAGAACCTGTGGAGTATATAAGCCGTAAAGAGCAGGAACTCTGGCAAGAATGCTGGTGCGCACGCAGGCGCAACACTTCCCCAAGCAGTTCTTGCACTGCTGCTGAATTGGCCTCGGCTTAGTGACCTCTCCAACCTGTCGCAACACAGAAAAAAAATCATTTGCAGTGGTTTTGGGTGTGATGCGCCGATCTACTTCGTTGGGAAAAACCCTCTTTGAAACAATGTAAGGCTACAGGCTACATCTAGAAACCAAGACCATGAAACCATGGGAGGCACCCGCCGGCCAAAGAGGTCCCATAGTCCCCGATTCCGGGGTTGATGGTTTTCCGAAGACCAAGAGGGGGAGTACACACCCTTTCCACTTCCTCTGGTTGTTGCCAGGGAGAGTACACACCCATTTCGAACATTTTTGAACACCACTCGAGATCGCTCATCATGCTTGCCCCCACTAAGCCCGGACCGTTCGATGCATCTCAGGTTGCAGGGGAGATCGGCCAGGCAGAGCCGGTTTTTACAGAACGAACACGATTTGGCCGGGGAAGAAGACCGATTTGGATGGCATGGATGGACATGGCAGTCAAACAGCTCAGTACAAGACAACACTGACAGAGACCAATGGCACTGCTTGAAGGCATCTGTGCAAAGCACGCCGGGATTTCCATTGTCGAATGTGTCTTGGCGAGGTTTCAGTAATGTTCATCTCGGTGTGAATCCCACGACCAGCACAATTTGACCTAGCCAAGATCAATTTGACGGTGATGAGTTTTCGTAGTCAGAGTGATGTCAGTTTCATGTTTTTTCTTGTGGTGATGTGACAGTCACGAGAGTTCCTGCTGCTGTGGGCGCTCTAGTGGCGGCAGTCATGATGGGTGTGTCTCCTCTTTTTTCAGGCCTTCATGCAACAAGCATGTTGACCCTACGCTTCCAACCACCATAAGCTTAATGGTTGGGTTTACATGGGCTTACTAGAATTTACGATTACAACACACTACTGTACCAGGTCCACCATTTTGGTCTTGGGTGAACGTGATGTTGGTCCTTCGACCTTGCTCGGAGCAGCGGGGAGCGCGGTGAATGCGCGGCCTTGGAGCTGCACGGAGTGCAGCTGCACTAGCTCTTGTTCCTAGTAGCAAGGCCAGGAGCTTCTAGTAGCTTCTTGCTCCGTTCGTAGCGATGCCCTTGTTACTAGTAGCTTCTTGTTACTAACTGAGGTGGAGAACGGTCCACAGAATCCCTTCGAACACGCCACGCCGGGAGGCTCAGGATCAGCAGACGATCGGCAGGATCGGCAGCAGCGACCCAGGGCCGCGGGCAGCGGGCCGCGGGCGGGCTGAGTGATGTCTTCTCGGCTCAACTTGTTGCCTTCTTCCACCTCCAAGGGTCCTTTCCTGGGGGAAGCAAACACCTGTGTTGTAACCTTGCTTGAGTGTGTTTGAAAGACAATGACGGACATACTGTGTTCATGTTTTAGCCCACGGGGCGAGCACGCATAGGCACATACATGTTTCAAGAATTGATCGTGAACATCGCGTTTATCACTTCTGCACATTGCATCCTCGCGAAGGAAATAACATGTTGACAATAATTGTGTGTTGGGCACCTTTTCAACACGATCATGATAGCGTTCTGTGTGCATGATCTTTGTTTTTGTGTTCGTTCTCGTCGGAATTCCTCTGCGTTTCGGAGAGCATTTGGGGGATGATTCTGTTTAAAACCTGTGTTCTCGATCGATCAAGAGGTCGTTTCATGTATCACTGTATCACGTTGCCAACATTGTGTGCTGGGGGGTGGGTCGATCTGGCTACAAAGATGAGATTGCTTCATGTACCACGTGGCCAGCGATGGGGGGCTTGGGGATGGTTGTGGTGGGGGTATGACAGAATGGCGTTCCAAAGCATTGAAAGGACACTTGGAATACACTCTGACCCACTCACATATGGAAGGGGATGGCATAGGCCACGGGAAGACCATTTTCCTCTACATTGAACACACCCAGTCCTCTATATTCCAAGAACACATGAGCCACAGTCAAAATCCTAGCGACTAGGTTTTTGTATAAAATTGATCATTTTTGGTGGGATCTTGCAGAATCTTGCACATTCCTTGGAAAACGAAGCCGGAAAACCACACCTCTTGGAGTGCATGAAATGTGGTGTCTCCAAACGAAGCCAGCACAAAGCCCCAAACGAAAAAGTGTCCTTTGTAGACCCTGCCCCAAATGCCCCGTACTGTAAGAAGTTCCTTTGCTGTATTGGTAGGTTTTAAAGAAGTTCCTTTGCTGTACTTCACATTGTCAAGGTCTAGTGGTAATATAGCTCACCTGGTGAACAAACAGAGCATAGTAGCCTAACTGGTGCAATTCCTTGAAAAACGAAGCCGGAAAACCAAAAACGAAGCCTCAGTAGAAACGATTATTTTTTCCTTTTCATTTTGCCTGATTCACTAAGGGCTTCATGAAAGAAACCAACATTTGGAGGGTGGGTCCGACCGGGCCGACCAACCAGGTGGATGTTTGATCCCAAAATGCTTAACGTGGTATACCTGGATCTTTCAACTTTGCAGAAATTCTGCGGAACTTGGCTGTAGAGAAAACAATAGGCATAACTTCTGCACGTCGTTGGAAGATCGAAGTGGTTTTCTGGCAGTCCACTGGGGCTCCGATTCCGACGAAACAGAGATGGTTTGATTTCACGTCGGATTGGACCAAATCTATGGTGTGAACATTCGGCTCGTCCAGTTTACTTTAGCCTGTAAGCCCGAGAGTCCAGGAAAATTATTCCTTTTATCCCCATGGTAGTGGTGGAAATTATGACTAAATATCAGGTGGAGTAAAATGAGTGATTGAAAGTTCTGGGTAAAGAGCTCGTAACACCTCATAACCATCCCTAATCGGTTCCAAAAACCATCGATTTGGTCTGACGCAAACGGTTTTCGCTCAGGTTGCCGGTGCCCCATTGCCGGTGGACACTTCCCGCGGCGCGACATTGGCAGACCTTCCGTTGGGAAGGCCCGGTTACGCCGGGGCGAATCTGAAGACCGAGAGACGTGCAGGTTTCGGCCACTCGCACTTGGCCTTCGGGCGCCGGGTGCCGGGGACTGTCCAAGAAGTTCACGTATAGAATTGCGACGGCCCTAAGGATTCCGGACCCTCAAAAACTAAGGGGTTTCAGGGGCCCCAACCCCCCTGTGAACAGCAGGGGGCCCCAACCCTGCGAAGGGTGTCGGGACCAAGGATCCCGAAGGGGAGGAGGTTGGGCATGGTTTTGGGCATGGCTGCCATGGATTTTTGAGTGGAATCCGACCGAGGTTTGGAGGTCTGAATCATCACACTGTTCTGTTCTGCAGGTCTGATGTGGGATGCATCTGGGATTCTTTGGGTATAGTATTATAGTATATGGTTTGGTAATCTCTGGAATCTGAATCTAGTCCAAAAGCATCTAAAGAAAGGATGGTATAGGTTTAGTATAGGTTTAGTAATATCTGCTCTGAGCTGGGTGGGACGGAGACGCCAAAGGGACGGAGACGCCGAAGGATGGTTCTCTCTTCGGTCCTAAGAGATACGAAATCCACGGGCTTCTTCAGCTTCGCTCCTTTCGAATGGATTTTTCTGGCTGTCACGAGGTGATCGAATGGCCCACGATGCGAGCCGCGACGGTCGACCTTCGCCAGGTCCCACGCAGACGCAGGAAACGGCCCTCGTTTGAGGGGCGGCGCAGACGCCCGGAGCGACCTGGCGAGAGCCGGAAGTCGTTCCGAAGATGTAGGCATAGTCATGAGGGTTGCGATTTTGAGTAGCATCCTCAGCTCGTCCTCAGCGTGAGTATGAGTAACCCCACTGTTTGCCCCTGCACGAACAAGTGTTTCTGTTGAAGGCAGCGCGAATAAACCGTACATAAACCATCATAAACCATACATGTCGGTGTTGCAAGCCTCATGAATGGTCATCGGCAAATGGTGCAGCGGAAGATCTTCGGTGGAGATTCACATGGAACTGAGGGAATGCACATGGTTCGCCGCACCATCTGCCGAAGCTTTCCCCCAGCAGTGGTTGAAAACACTGCGCGGTTCGGCCAATGCAACTCCTTTCAGAGTCTGGGACCTCTGCGTCCTCCAAGTCGACCAAAAAGGTGCTGTTGCGACGCGTGCATACGCGGTGCGTCTCAGCAACCGTTCGGTCTCATCCTTCGGAGCTTCCCAAACAGCAATTGCCTGGTCGCAACGACCCGCGCTGGACATCCATCTCTTGCTGGTCCAAGGCTGAAGTTGACAAACACAACCAAAAGCATATTTTAAAGGATTGATAGATTGTTTGGAGATGTTTGGATATTGTTTCGTCTCCATGGGTCAGGGACGTCACAAGTGGTCCATGCGAAAAAACCTGACCGCAGATATCTTCGGGTCGGAATTGCCTGACCACAGTGACCAGTAACACTTGGCAAATCCATGCGAGTGGCCCTCCTGTTGTCCAAAACAGAAAAGCAGCCGAGCATCAACTGCAGTAGAGCATTGCTCAGCTGTTGAAGCAGCACTTGTTTTTTGCTTAACGTCGAAGAAGAGAAGGATGTAGTCGACACCAATGCAATGGCCGATGAGTTTTTGGTGCTTCCAACCTGCTTAAACTGACATTTCTATGACCGAAGCGTTGCTGAAGCTTCTGCATGTGTGTTGGGTGGCAGGCCGCTTCGTCGAAAGGTGTACAGAGGAAGAACGAGGCATGAACACTTCAACTGAAAGAGTGCACAATTTGATGAAGATGTTCAAACAGTATAGTATGAGTGGATGGCAATTGTGCCCGCAAACTATTTTCCAAATGTGGGTTGGTTCCACTTCCATGTTTTGTTTTGGCCCGAGATGGTGAAATCCGATTCCTTTTGTCGGAGTGTATTGATTTTGCTGTTGCAGTTCCTATACAATGTTGTGCAGGCCGTGCACACCGTCAAAGCTTCCCTGGGTCATGACGCATATCACGCTTTGTGCCGGCAACTTTGGAAGACTGCACGCACTCACTTGAGAAGATGGCCGAATCGAGATTCGAGACCGACTAATGGGTCATAGTGACCAAAATTTACCCTAACAATCCATGTATGGAATATTTGCCATTAGTGACTACTGTACGTAATCTCAAGATGTCTTTGGTCTTAAGGGTCCATGTAGTAAGGTAAATATTCCATACGTGTCTGGGTGTAGAATATGTCAGCTATTCCGAGGCTATTCCCATTTAAAAGCATACTTCGCTTATGTCTATTCCGACCCCCCCAACAAGCGCCCAAACATAGATGGGATACCTCAGCTCCAAGAGTTCAAGCCATCAATAGGGGATATGGTAGGAAAGCATGTGCCAAACTGAGACTGACCCTGAGGGTCAGTCTCATATCTCATGGCGCCACATGTCTGGGATTTTGGTCGCAACATGTCGGGGATCGAACCATCGCCGCCAGTCTCAACGCCTCGAGGTCGACTGCGAAGGGAGGACCAGGCCGAGGGGGGAGGCCGGGTCGCAAAAAGCGATCGGACGACCCGCGAGTGCAGTGCTGAGCAAGAACTGGGCGCCTACAGGCCTACAGGCACCTACCAAGAGAGGTGAAGTGACCTGCACTAGGACCCGTAACCTGGAGTATGGGATAGTCGAACTAGGGCCCTAGGGCGCTAGGGTCCTTCAACCTCTGTTGGTATAGGCAGCATTCATCCGGAAACGAATCGTACGAAATCGGTGGGACTTTGTGGTTGCTGTGGTGAATTCTACCTGGGTCTCTAAACAGCCGAACCGATGGGTGTGGGCCTAGCAGAGAGGGGTTTACACAGTAGAACCCCCTCACTTACTAAGTATCCTACACCACATCGATGGACGTTTGTGGCTTTGTACAAAGGACTGTAGCTGGTGGGGAGGATGAATCCCATTCCCTAACAATCCATGTATGGAAGATTGGCCTGCATTTGGGGGATTTATCTAGATTTATAAGATGATGTAGGATGGATTTAGGATGAATGTAGGTAAATATTCCACTCCCATAAACTGCCTGGCATTGACTAGTATTTGTGCAGCCACCACCGACCGGATGTGATTGGAATCACTATCACCATCTTGGAACAGCACCTTTTGTTGACCGCTGAACACGAATCCGGCCAGATCATCGAGAAGGCATTGATCCTGCCGGCACCTCACAGCTTTTGAAAAGGAAGAAGGTTTGCTAGATTGCTTGATTCGGAGGCACAGGCACAGGCCGTCTCGCTAAGGGTGTGTGGTCTTGACGGGCTCGCTCGAAGCCAATGCCGGCGAAAAAAAGAACCTTCCAACTATGATCAATGTAGATAAAGCAGGATATTGACCGCTCCTATAGGTGTCCGGTCGGACCTGTTTGAGACTTGAACACGTTTTTTCCCGTTCTTTTCCAAAAAAAGAACACAAACTAACTGGAAGGCTCTGTTTTGTATGCATTGGAGGGGGTGGTTTGGAAGCTGGCTGAAGGTTGGACACGTACTCGGTGGTGTCCCGAGCCTTGGGCCAGAACACCTTGGTCAAGGCGCGGCAGACCGCAAGGGTGGCCGGCCGAGCGCCGAGCGGAGGGGCGGAGGGTCGCCTGTTCCGAGCCGGTGCGGCAGGCGGTGAATGTGGTGCAACAAATGCGCAATGCCGGCTACAGTGACGAGTGGGCCCAAAGCTTGGGCATTCCTTTTCTTGAAACACTGAGGGAAGATCAAGAGGCTGAAGGAGGTTTGAGTTTGCTGAAGATGGCGTTTCGACAGCACCTGGAATCATGAGAAATGGATCAGCAGACTGGCAGGCTCTGTTTTTTGTATGCATTGAAGCAGACTCATCTCATGAAGGCCATTTTTCAGTCACTGGAACCTTACAACCTGCGACCCTCGACGCAACCGACCTTTTCGTGTTCTTTCTTTCTTCTCTCCGACCTCCGGTGGGTCTCCGGTCTCTGCCGTCCCTTGTTCGATGCTTCGATGAGGCCACGACGCTGTGCAGGGCTCTCTTTCGACAGAAAGACAAAGACCTTCGCAAGGCCTTCCGCCTCTTCGACCAGGACGGGCAGAGCGGGGCCCAAACAACGGGGGTTGTCTTCCACCGGCGGAAGACCCCATATGGCCGGTGTTCTTTTTTTTTGGGGGGGGGCAGACAGGACAGCCTTTTGAAGGTGGCGGGGTAGAAAGGTGTTCTTACAACTCACAGCCTATGACCAGGAAACTGTCATGCTTACAATTACAAGAAACAGTATGTATGTTGTTTTAGTCATTGGGTGTGCCTATTGAGCATTTGTGAATATTTTTGAGCTGTTTTTTTTGTAAGCGAGAACATCCTGAAGTATCCTGAAGTGGACAATTGGTGAACATAAAATGATGTGTGATTGATGTCCACAATACTATGCTATGCAAGATGAATTGAGCATTGCCTAGCCTGATTTGCCTCATCTCCGAACTCTTTCCTTCCTCGAAACTTCCCCGAAACGGAGCCAAACATCAAAGGAAAAACACAGGGAAAGGGTGCGGGCTCCTTTCCCATCCTTTCCTCCCAGACGCTCATGGACCCTGCTAAGTAGGGGCTGTACCCTCATATGGAGGGGTCCGGACCCTCAAATCCCAATGGTTTTGAGGGACCGGTCGGACTGTTTGGAGCGTTTGGGCTATACCAAAAAGGAACACCTTTTTTTTCTTTCTGGAAAAACATGGCCACGCTCTGCTCCTCTCAACATCCCAAACCTCGGCCGGTAGGGAACACGCGAGAACTCGTCGACATCGTGTCCTCCGCGAGACTCGCGACGCCCCGCAGAACCGAAATGGATGGATTGAATCCTCCGAGCTGCGGGAGGCGCTTCCCTTGATGGGTGAGGAGGCTCCACGAGCATCCCGCGCCGCGACACGCCCGGTGCGCCGCGCAGCGGGCGGGATCCGGCGGAGCGGGATCCGGCGAAGACGATCGAGAACGAACACCACGGGTGGATGGGGAGGTGTTGGTGATGGTGATGCGTTGTGCCGGTGATCTTTTCATGGGTGAGAATCAATTTGTGATGGAGTTTTGGGCGGTTTTGGGCGATCGGAAGCTTCTGCTTCAGCGCTGGCAGAAGCTTTCCATGAATTCATTGGCTAGGCCTCGCGAGCTGCGAATGAACCTGCCAAGCCTGCCAGACAGCTTTCACTTCAGTTAAGATTATTTAGTTAAAATGTAAAGGTAATGTCATAAGTCTCGTGAGAGTTCTCGTGAGTGTTTTGGAGTTTCCAAGTCATTTCATTTGGTGATCCCGAGCCCACCAAATTCCAGTCCAACAAGTATCAGCAATATCTCAAAGATTAGTCGTGTCCCCCGCTCTTAACCTTCACTATCAACCAGGACCGTGGTTAAAGCATGTTAAAACAACATAAATCAACATACGTATAATTCAAGCGTGGTTCTTTTTATCGGGAGACCCCGAAACATTCAGTAAGGCAAAATTAGACCATTGGCTGGAAGGCTTCAACATCTAACATGTGCGTTTATGATTGTTTATGCTATAGCTACTGTATTCGTTTTTTCGTTCCAAATACATGGAGGGATGGTCAACGTGTACTGCGGTTACCTGGAGACATGAGCCGACTGATTTAGACATTTCCTCATGATCCCTCACTGAGCCGCATGACCCTTCCAACGAAAGTGGAGGTTGCACGAAGTTGCCGAGGTAGAAGAAGCTTTCTCACGCTAATTACCCAAAAAACCTTGCCAAGATCTTCTAAGACCATTAAACGAATCAATGTTCACATCGCAGTTGCCCAACAATTTGTGTTTATCGTAAAAATGACTATATATATAATTACCCGCAATAATAATATAACCTCAGACATTAGGATCATGAAAGCCTTTGACAAGTTTTAATAGGATGAAATTCTAAATTAATTACAAGTAATTAAAGACGTATTTAAGATCTGGAAAGGTTTATTATTATTACACAGGAGAACGTTTGTTATTGCATTCCTACCCCCTTAAAAATGAAATTGGAAGGGGGGTGAACCTTGAAATTTAACTTTTCAGTTTCATTTTTGGTTGTGCTTTAAAGGATTGCTAGGATGCTTTCGAGAACTATGTTTGCCTTCAATTTGGACATCCATCCAAGGGGGGCTAGGAGCTGTGCAGCAAGGTAGACCGTCGGGAACTGCGCTTGGTGACTTATTGCCGCCTGTGCAGATTGTTTTCACTTTATCATTTAAACATAACAATAAAAGGAACAAACATTGGCAGTCATGGATGCGTTTCAAGATCCACGAAAGGAAAAAACAACGGCACGGCATTCATTGATGTTTATGGACCTAACCTGGCTTGTAGGCAAAAAGTCTTTCACGATGCCACATTTCGCCATCAGGAGGGGAGGACACCAAAGATCAAACGTGCTAGGCCTTCCATGATGTGAAGCAGATTTGGGCAGCATGTGATGGGTCCAGACATGCCACATGCCTTCATCCACTCACATCTTGACACAAAAATGGGTCCCAACTCTCCCACTTTTCATGTAATTAGTTGAAGATCCACCCCGAAACCCAGCCCCAACAAGAACCAATAATGGTTGTTCCACTCCATAGCTTCTCTTGAGATCCTTTACACGTGCTTGGGACTGCGGAGTTCCATCCACAATCATCCACACATGTTTTTGCTTCTCGGGCCCAGGGAGGAAAACCAACCCCGGAAAACACACCTCCGGCGGTCCGGATCGGCGTTGTTCCTAACATTCGCTCGTACCCTCAACCGTCCCCGAAATGGATCGGTCCCGTCGTCGTGTCCGAACGGATCCGGACGGTGACCCCGCAACGGCTCGCGCAAGCGCGCCAGGTGCCCGACGCGCGCATCGAAGAACTCTTTGCGATCGTAGACCAGGAGGGGCGAAGATGGGATTCGAAGAGGGGCAAAAAGTCAAAAAGTCGTTTCCACAAGCTGTCTGGGACTGGGATATGGCCTAGAAGTCAAACAATGTACTTTTTTACATGCAAAAAACAAGCATATTGTTAAATGGCCGTTACTAAAACAACATCAAACAACCACTGTTTTACTGAGGATTCTACACTACAAAACCCGATCAACATAGATCAACCATTTTAAAAGTGGTCTTGGACTTCCAGGGTGTATATATATGTATATACCCTGGCCTTCAGTTCGACCATTAAAAATAATGTGAACGCCCCGGTGGTGTAGTGTAAAAGTCCTTAGCAAAAAAAAGGGTTCTTTGGTAAAGACCACGGTGTTCGAATCCAGGTATATATATATATATTATACATGATATTACATGTACATAATAGTAATATATATAGGTATACCTATTGCAATACATTAGGGTGTGTCCCATTACCAGTAGCAGTCGGCAAAAAAGAACATGAAGAAAGGCCTTCACAAACGATCATGGAATACATATACAAGTGATATATATACCTAGAACCTGAATGACCTCTATTTTGGACCACCAACCACTCAAAATATGGCCTTTTCCTATCAAAACAGAGGTCAGTTGGGTTCCAGGTATATAGAGAGCAATATATGACATTGTTGGCGATAGAGGGGTCCCAATTATCGACGAAGACGCATGAAGACGCATGAAGAGGTACGAAGACGCATGAAGACGCATGAAGAGGTACGAAGACGCATGAAGACGCATGCAGAGGTACGAAGATGCATGAAGACGCATGCAGAACGTATTACATCAATCTTTACGGCTTTCAAAGCAAGAGAAGAAAGAACAACTCTCACTCACTCACACACGCTCACACTCACACTCACTCTTCACTCACACTCACATTCACACTCACTCTCACTCACACTCACACTCACACTCCACACTCACTCTCATTCTCACTCACTCACAGACTCACTCTCACTCACACACTCACACTCACACTCACACTCACACTCAAACTCACACTCACTCGCTCTCACTCTCATTCTCCCACTCTCACTCTCACTCACTCTCCCACACTCACCCTCACTCACACTCACTCCCACTCTCGCTCACTCACACTCACTCCCACTCTCACTCACTCCCACTCCCGCCCGCACTCACTCACCCACCTTCACTCTCACTCACACTCACTCTCACCCACACTAAAACTCACTCTCACGCGTCGGCGCGCATCGTCACGCATCGTCACGCATCGTTGCATCGTCACGCAGCGTCACGCATCGTCACGCAGAGTCACGCAGCGTCACGCAGAGTCACGCAGCGTCACGCGTCGTCAGCGATATTTGGACACCTTCACAAACCTACTCTGTATATGCCCCACATCGACCCTTTTCGGAACAAAAGCTCAACTGATCGGTCTTTCTGTGCCAGTCCCGGACTGGGAAACCCACAGGGTGCGTGGGGTGCGTGGGCTTTGAGATCAATAGGAAGGATCAGGAAAGTAAGTCGGTGACGAAGTGGCAGACGTGCACAGGAAGCGTTCTCGTGGAGCCGACCTTGGAATCTCCGCCCTCGTTTTTCTCCTTCGACAGGACAAGACGGGGCTGATAGACTTCGAGGAGTTTTGCTTCTTAGCACCCTGTCACAGAACACGTTTTGGCAGCCAGCGGTACATCAGATACACTCCAAAAACGCGTTCACCGGAATTGCTGACACTGTAGGTCAAGGGCCTGAACAAGGAGGAAGGCGAGCTCAGCAGCCCACACTGCTCAGCGAAGTTTGCAGAATTTGTTGAGATGATTTTGCGTGTTCAGGTGAGGAAGCAGATGCCTTCGCTGCATTTCGCACATCCGCTGAAGATACCCTGGGAGCTGTTGGTGGAGCAGTTGGATCTGTGGCATCTGGCGCCTCAACTTTGTCCAACAAAGCCAGTTCAACAATCACAGGTTCAGTACTCATATACCCAGACACTCCATGTATGCCATATTATATGGCATACCTACTACATTGACCCCTCAAACCATCCCAATGTAGGCATATATGGCATACATGGAGTGTCTGGGATATATAATAGGTTGGGTTTGTCCTATTACCTGTAACCGTCAATCAACAAGTATCACTAGTCTAGAGAAAGGCCTGCAACTGAACCACCATCATCCACTAAGCCCTGGTAGACCCAATATATTGGAAGACACCCGTTTTTGATCTCTCTGCGGCTTTGATTTGGTGCTACAACATGAAAGACACACATCTTCTTTCAAGCACATGACCAAGGAACGGGTGCGGCGCTCTCTGCGGTGTCCACGGCCTGGTCGGCCAATTTGCCCGGCCTCAGCCCTTTCGAACTGCGCAAAGCGGGCGCCGGGAGCCCGGCGGGAGCGGAGGGAGCGTGTTCGGTGAAAGGGGGACACACCGGTTGCGGTCGTGAATTCTGGGACGTGAGAGAGTTGGATACTGTGTGCAAAGAGCAACATCATGCATTGCATGTGTATAGTTTATATGTGTTTATATAACAGATCCTTTGGCTACTGAAAATGACTGTACTGTTGAAAAATGTATAGATCGATCTACACTCTCAACAATTTGGAAGCACGCATGTTGTTTTGCTGCGCCTCAGGTCGTCCTCAAGAAGATGACCGCAGCAGGATACAGCGAAGCCATGGCCGACACCTCAGGTGCAGGTGCAAAGATCGTCTTCCCCTCACCCTTCACCTATACACCTCCTCACCGATGTGCTCCTGACGCAGACGACTCGAATGTGTTTGTTTTTTTTCTTTTCGGTTCGAAGGCTAAGAACAACCCAGGGGATTCGATCCGAACGCGCATGGAAGGGATTTTTTCAGGATCCGGACCCCCCTTTCTTTTGTGGGTTTTAGGAGGCCGCCTTCCGTGCGGCGGGAAGGGACGGGACTCCATCGACAGACTCCGACTCTCTCTCAGGCCCTGGCCATTTGCAGAGCCTTGTTTTGTGGTCAGACCGCTCCTCAGACTCGACTCGCGGCCGGCCCCGTGGAGGGCCCCAGTGAAGGACTCCCAGACACTCCTGTTATAGACTAGTTACCGATCAGTTGGGGTGGTTGACCCGGGGGTCTTTCTTTCTTTCCGATTCGCCGAGGACGAGTCGTCCGTGGCAGACTTTGCTGCATTAATTCCTAATTAAATTCGATCTCAGCTCCTGCCTCTCAACACGGCAGAAATCAGGCCCCCTCGGGGCTGATTCATCAAACTCTGCCCGTAACGAGCGGATTGCTTCTTCAAACCACTCTGGCAGAGGACTAGAAGTCTCGGTGAGAGGCTGGGCTGCACAAAAGGCTATTGCCAGGGCTTTGCAAAGATCCGGTGGGTATTCCTTTAGTTTGTTCGTTTTCCAGGCGCCTGTTGCATCTCGACCGATGCAGCCTCCCTTGGGGAGAGGCGTAGTGCAACCCTTGATCAAAATCTCTTCAAGCTCATCACAATTTGCGGTCAAAAACGTGGTGGGTTTTGGTGACAGTCCACCAAAGTGCCCTTGAAAGAGATCGATCAACCTGCACCGAGGAAAGCGCAGGAAAAACTGAACAAGAGGAAGACGCCAAATCGACGCATACTCCGGCATATCATGAGGTTCAGAAGGGTGTTCTATGACCGCTGTAGCGCCATACAGAAGAGCTGTGGCAAAAAGCCGTAGGGCCACTCCAAGCAACTTGGTGCCAATGAGGACCTGCTCACTCTCCTTTCGTGTCAAGCTCTGCAGGCCAAAAGGTCGAGCTCTGCTTCTTACAGGGCGCACATTGTACACTTCAGACAGCACTGCTCTTGCCCGGGTCCATGTCTCGCACGGGGGGCCCGCCAAAAAGCCTCGCAGGGTTCCATGACGGATTGCCCTATCAAAGAGCAGGAAAGTCTCAGTTTTGAGCAAATCTCCCCATGTGACATCATATATGATGTCTATCGAAATTGCCACAGCTCCAAGACTTTCAATGAACTGCTGGAGGTCTCCTTCTCGTCGCGCTCCGGCGAACAAGTGTGCAAAGACACGTGGCGCATAGTGAACCGTACACGGGATGGACAGGTTCACTTCCTGCATACATTGTGCCTCTTGGAAAAAGAATTCTGCAACTTTCGCATGCTGCGAAGGCATCTGTACAGTCCCTTGCAGAAACCATTCACCAGAGGCATGGTATAGGAAGGTGTCTCCGACAGTCAGGCACGAGAGGCAAATGGACTCCTCACTCAGCATTCGATCCCACCATTGTCTAAAAGTCTCCACAATCTCTTCGAGATATAGGCACGTCTGGCCAGTTGCAACTCTCAAGGATTCCAACAAATGGCCAGCATCTGTCTGCTGATGTAGAGTCGCTGTCCAAGCATCAACAAGCAGCCTCCTCTCATGGTCCTGAAATTCAGCAGGGGCAGGAGGGAGACATCGGGGACCCTCTGCCTGTAGGTAAGGAATCGGCAGGACTCCTCGTTTCTGCCTGGCAATTCGGCTGTTGACACCTGGCTGTGCTTCAACAACAACCCCCCTGTGTGTATAGAAAAGAAAACAGGGAGGGTTGTTATGGACATGATTGAGTAAGTTGGTATGTTGGTCAAACAGCTTGAGACAGTGTTCGCACTGTTCTCCGGTGACAAACAATCTGACATGACGGAGTTGTCGATGGATCTTGAATGAATGAACAGCAAGGTCAGAGCGTCTGGCAAAGATCCTGCAACATTTAAGACAGAAATGCTTCGTGTCCAGCAGATCGATGCGTCGTCGACAACGATATCCTTGGAGAAGGAGCTCCTTCATAATCTCTCCGTGCCACCAGTGCCACTCATATTCAAGTCGCAGAGATGAGACATGTCTCGCAACTGCCGTTCTCAGCCAGTTCTTCCATCTCGTTGGGTGTTCCCCAACCACCTGAGCAAAGGTCTCCCAAGAATCCTTAAAGGAGGTCAGGAGCATTTTTTCAGGGCATAGTTGGTCGAACCAGACAATGTCAGCATGTAGTTGATCGTACCATTGTGGGTTCCTTTGGAGCATTGCCCACGTTTGCGGCTGCGCACTACCAAGTAGCTGATGGATATATCTCAATCGAGCCACCGTCAACACTACCAGAGGTCGCGGCAGTCCAACAGTATGATATAAGCAGTCTGAACTCCAATGAAGTGCGCGATTACCAAAATGTAGAACAGCAAATCGTCGATACAGCCTAAAGAAGGCATGCTCGATTAAGGACTTTTGTCTTTTGTTTCTGGGGGTCCACGCTGCACTGTTGAAGACAATGGTGCTCATGACAAGGCTCGTAAAAAAGTGCCTCTTCTCCTCCAGGCCGAGTCCACGGTTGGCAAAAAGCTGCGATCGAAACCTCGTCAGAGTATCGTGGGCCATTGCAAATCTGGTCAACACGTCTTGCTGTACTCCTCCACCCACTTGTAGCCAGGTGCCAAGGTGGCGATAGGCTCCGACCACATGGAGGGCAAAGGAGGCATAGGGCGACTCAAGATGTAAAATATGAGCATCGTTGGCCAATTGTCTTCTAAGTTGCACAGAGCCTGCCCCTCGAAGCTCAAGCAAGAGTTCCGTCTTTCCACGAGACATATTGGGCCGGAGGCCTGCCGCCATCAGTCGATCAAGCACAGTCTGGGAAACTCTTCGTGCTTTCTGCAGGAGTCGGCAAGCATCTCGGTCTTCAAGAGCTATCGCGACATCATCTGCCCACACCGGCATCAATGGGTCAAGGCGAACACATTCAGGGCCAGAGACAAGTGGCCGATGATGCCCATCCCAGCTAATTGTGAGATCCGGAAAGGCCTCTTTGATGTCAGACACTGCAGACTGCAAGATCTTAGTCAGTGCGAAGCTGAAACAAAGATCAGCAAAGGAATCGCCAGGGCGACTCCCTCTTCGCGTTTGCACGACCGCAGAATCGTTTCGTACTACAAACCAGGTACTCCTATAAAACTCTTTAAAGAGCATCTTCAATCTGTCAGGCGCAGAGGAGTCATCGATGGCCGCCGGCTGATTCAGCATCGAGACAAACTCAACATAACATTCAGAAGGCAGATGAAGAGCACGGAAGAGTGCTTCTGGATCTCTGCGAGCATGCTCATCACTCACAATATGTTCTCGCACAAGGCGATAGAACGCGTTGGACACGTCAATGAACAAGAAGGCAGTCGAGAACTTCTTGGAGATCGCTGCTTGTTGAAAAAGGTGAAGTACATGTACAGGTTGTGTGATTCCTTGTTTGGGAAGGCCACCAACCTGCATGTCAAGCCGCTGCGACTGGAAGGCTCGTGCCAAATCTCTCCTGTATATTGAGTGTAGCGCTTTTGCAACCACACTACTCACAAACAGGGATCTGTAGTTGCTCATAAGACGGGCGTCACCTTTCTTGAACGCGGCAACTAAAAAGCCTCCTTTGTGCAGCATCGGCTCTCGAAGGTAGATGACTTCCTTGAGATACAACGAGTAAAAAATCTCCGACATCTTCGCAGGCATCTTTTTAAGGAGATCACCTGGTAGGCCATCAGCAAAAAAGGCTTTGCCTGCCGATGTGCGGTGGAACTGTTCCTCAAATTGGTATCGGCTTGGCAGGTCAGTCCAATCAAGGCTGGGGGTTGATTCCTCAGTCCTCTGGTCAGCTGCTTCAATGAGAGCATTGAAAGTCGTCACGACTCCATCTTCCTGCTCACGGAAATACTCTCTCCAATGTCGTGCGATTTCGTCCGCCGTCTCCAGTGGATGTCCCTCCGGTGAGAGGAGCAGAGGCAAGGGTCGAATACCATTAGGTTTCTTTTTGTTGATGACTCCAATGGAGCGAAACACTTGCATGGTTTCTTTTTGATTCAAGTGGAGAGTCTCTTTTGCCAAAGTTTCAAATGCACAAACACGATCTTGCTTCAACCGTTTTGTCAGCTTCATAGTTAACGCAGCAGTAGTTTGCTTTGTTTTGATGGCTCGCAGGGTCAACCGGATTAGGTCCATAAAGAGAACAGTCTTTGGGAGGCAGTATCCGTGAGCCCAAGAGAAAATAAGCATGCAAGCTGCTGCTGGCAATCTGCTTCCGAAGCACCTGTGTCTGCCGACGAGCACAGATCCTTTCCTTTCGGATGGCCCAGGTCTCGTCAGAAATGAATGACTTCCGCGGTCCTTCCTTGGTGACTGGAAAACTGTCACATAGGAGTCCGTGCACCTGGTCTGAGAGTCTTGTCGCATGCGTATCAATATCTTCAGTCCATTCAGGCACATCCACCTTTGAAAGAAGTTCGTTCATCTCAACATCAGTGGCCTTCGCAAGCTTCTGCCTGCAAAAGGCTTGCCTGGGTCGCTCAGTCTTGTGTACTGTCCAAGTCAAAGTGGCTTTCACCATCAAAGGCCAGTGGTCAATAGCTCTCTTGGTCGTATCTAGAGTATGCAAAACCCAGGAACGGACATTGGCATGTAGCCACAGGCAAGGACAAATGATATAGTCGCAACGGGAGACACTCCCATTAGCACTACTCTGCCAAGTATAGTGTTGTCCTTCATGAATGTGCTCAAATGTCGAGGGCAAAAAACCTTGGACTTCTCGGAGAAACTCTTTCATTGCCTCCCCTCCCACATTAGTCTTTCCTTCAAGGCCAAAATCGCCAACGCAACCATCGCACGGGACCGCAAAATGGGCGTTGGCGTCAGATCCAAAGACAAAATTGTGGTACTTAGCCAGGAAAGGCTTCAGCAATCTTGCCAGGTTTTTCCAGTAGGCTGTGATGCTATCAGAATCGTGTCCACTATGTGGAGCATGGAAACTACCCAGCAAGAGATCAGTACCTTTGTACTTGGCCTTCAGGATCAGTGTTTCAGCATCAGCATGTAGAACCTGCACCTGCGCATGGTCGAACCCTCTGCCGCGATTGGCCGGCCCAGCCCGCAAAAGCCAGATCTCTGTTCCGCCTTTCCCATTGGCAGACTCGCTGATAATCCTAATATGTGTCTGGGACAAAATCATGTTAGATTTCTTGGATC